AAGGGCATCTTGCTCCTGATGGGATCAGCCAAAAATGGCCCCTTCCCTTTCTGCACCAAAGGACTTTATCTCTTCTGTTTTCCCACTCCCTTGTGGGTAAAAATAATCCTTTCCTGAAATCTCTGGGAAGATGCCATGTAGCTCCTCCCACCCCCAGGTCTCTGTGTCCCTTTTAGGTGACAGATTCCAGCCAAGGTCTGAGCTAGCCATTCTATTGTCTCTGGCCAGGGGGGCTATTTGCATTTACAAAGCTTTGATGGTCAGCACTCACCAGGGCTATTAGCAAAAGGGGCAATGTTTGGGAATAATTGACTTCTTCACTGCAGCTGAGAAAAACCTTTAAAAGCAAGTATGGGGGGTTTGCAAAGCCCAAACCTCAAAATAAAATGCATCCCCTCTATTGCAAAGCCCAAACCTCAAAATAAAATGTATCCCCCCACACACTAATCTCCCTATGATATTAAGACAAAAGACATGCTACAATAACCTTAATTCTTGTAGTATGGAAAGTGCTACCCTGACCTTAGATCAGTAGAAATAAGGTGCTGCATTTGGGGCAAAATTCACTGAAGCTCACCTGCTCATAAGACTTGCCTCCAAACTTTTGCTCTACAAAGAGTGCATATTACTTGAAGAAGCGGAAAAGGAGCTGCTGCTTCACAACATTTATGACGACAGGCCAGAGGTATTTTGAAAACAATCATGTTTAATCATGCAGATAGTATGTGATGGCTGTTTACTGCTACTCCATGACATCACACAACAATATAATGGCAGGATGTGAGAAAGAATATTGTATTTATTTGAAGCTGGTAGTATTAGTTAGGTAGTCTGCCGGGTAATTACATTTTACAAAATGGATTGGGTAGAGTATGAGGCATAAGATCCTTGTCTTGTAAAAATCATTGAAACTTTGTTGAAAAGAAATATAAAATCCTGTTGTGATTCCGTAAAAAAAAAGATGGTAAGTGAACAAGACTCAGTCGATGTAGTCAGGAGACTTATTTCATGCTGTGGAACTTCCCACATAGATGAGCTATCCCATTGCCCCCATTATCAGATCCATGAAGTGGACCAAAAAGGTGGTAGGCATATATACAAATACATAGACTGAGATGCACGGAAGGACAAATCAAGAAAATGAAAGAGTACATGAAGAGAAAATATATCCTGATTGTAGAAGTAGAAATGCCACCTTTTAGCTTTAAACACACGTGTGTGTGTGTGTGTGTGTGAGAGAGAGAGAGAGAGAGAGAGAGAGAGAGAGAGAGAGAGAGAAATATGACTAAGGGTTAGGGATGCTAACCTCCAGGTGGAGCCTGGAGTTCTCTTGTAATTACAACTGATCTCCAAAACTAAATATCAGTTCCGTTGGAGGTAATGGCATCTTTGGAGGGCTCTCTGGTATAGCAAATTTCCACCTACATAGGTACCACTTCCAAATCTTCCAGGGATTTCCCAGGCTGGAGATGGCAACCCTGCTCAGGGTAGGGACAAGCTAAAGGTTTATAAAATTAAGTAAGTATTGAGAAAATGATTAAGACAAAATTTTCTGTCTTTTAGAGTACTAGAATTCACAATCATTTACTGGGGTAGTCTAGTAGTGAATTCAGACTGAAAAAAGGAAGTATTTCTTCATACAATGAAAAATGAATTTATGGAAGTCACCGCCACAGACTTGGCAATGGCCACTAGCTTAGATGGCTTGAAAAGAGGATTAGACAAATCCATGTAGGATAGGTCTACCAATGACTATTAGTATCAATGGCTAAATGGAAACCTCTGTGTTCAGAGACAATATGGCACTAATACCAGTTATAGCGGGGGAGGAGAACAGCAGGGAAAACTATTGCTTTCATGCATTTTTGTGGGCTTCTAGGGGGCATCTGGTTGGCTAATGTGAGGAACAGGATGCAGGGCTAGATAACTCTTGATATAATCCAGCAGGACTCTTATGAACAACTTGTGTTTCATTGGGTGGGTTCAGATGGGCTGTTTAGTCCGCTTTCGGCCCGCCTCAGAAACAGATTTTATCTGCGCGATTACACTGTCAACATCTGCCTCCCATCCCCAGCTGTCACTTTCCAGCTCAAAACCACTTTAACCCAGAGTATTTTGATACCCGGTCCCCAAGTGGTCTTTTCCTGATTCTCCGGTTCCAGCTGCATTTTTCCCGTGTGATAGAGCCACTTCCGGTTTAAACCCCCTTCACGCTCGAAAGCTGCTCGAGGCTTC